AAAGGGGGGTTGATGGGTAGCGAAATGTTTTTGCCATTGACCGCCAGCAAAAAACATTCAGAAAATGGCGCACGGTCAGAAAATGGGAGGCAGCTACATATGTACTCACTCGTCCAAGGCAAACAAAGTAAACCTTTCTCAAGCTTAAATCACATAAGCTAGATTTATTTACAAAAGACGCACACACACTCACACACCCACACACGCACAGACACACACATTATGAATGCCTAATTGCCACACGCTGGGAAAATCTGCTCAATGTGCATCAGACTCTAACTGAATTTATACAAATGTGTTACATATTTTCCCCTGCCTAATTGATAACTTCCGACCAGCCCAGTCCCCTACATTTTGGATCAGGGGATTGGGAAATCGGTGAGTGTAAGTGTGATAATGAATTCAGATTCACTGCCAGAGAATAAGTCGGTCCCCTGGACTTTGCTGAACATTTTTCCAGCTGCTGCATTGCCTGTATATATAATATGGTCTCGTCATTTGTGTTTGTTTTTCTGCGAGATGGAAAAAGGTACTGTACTTTCATTTTGAAATGTTAAAGATATATCTTGAAGGTTTTGGTGAAAATTCAGAAAACCTTAAAGAACATTTAGGTGAAGTAGCAGAGTAATATTTATTATTGAACGGAATGAAAAGATTCCAATTTCCCATTAACCATTAAATATCACTTCATTTATTTTGGAACAATTTTAAAATAAATTATTTGTTACTGAACATAAAGACAAGTTTCCAATTTCTTATTTACCATTAAATATCACTTCATTTATGTTGGAACTGTTTTAAAATATTATATTAAAATATATTAAATTAAACGTTGAAGGGTTTGCTAAAAATTTCCGGCCACTGTATAGAAATTTTGCTTAAGTAACATTGAACTATTTAGATTTTAACGAAAATAAAAGATTCCGATTATCTTAATATTACTCTACACACTTTAATTTTTCCCAAAAAATTATTTCATTTATTTCTGAATTTTTTAAAAATAAATTAAACCAAATAACAAATGAAATCAAAATAAATTAAATGACTGCACTCTACACAAAGTTCTAATAAATCTAAGGAAAAAACATCTGAAAATGTGAGTCATTACAACATTACATTTTACTCTTTTCTTAGCTTTATGTATTTTTACAGTTCAACAAAAACGCCTTAAGCAACGTGTCGTATGCGTGATATCTGTAAAAGCCAAGGCAAGAAACCAAGTGTAAATAGCACGTTTTTTATTTCATCGCCAGCGGGGTGAAAAACATTGATAAGAGCAATATCTAATTGGTTTTTAATGATATATTTTAAACATTACTCACCGCCATACATCACGAAAAGGGTTATTTTCAGCATTATCAGGTTGGGATTGATGCCGCGCCGCACACAGAATTCTCCGAATCGCGATAGCTCGACCTTTTCCGTTATCGCCGGATCCGTGGCCATTTCCTCGCTGACCATTTTCCCCATTTTCCCGACTTTTTCACTTGGCTACTCGCATAGACTCGTCGACAGTTTTGAAGTTCGTTTCAATGAAAAGCGGCCAGTCGTGAGAAGAGGGTAAAATTGCCACCGATTTCTAAGTTTCTCGGTCACACACACAGATACACACAGACACACACGCGCACACACACAGACTAACACATTGCAAGGCACTCAAAATTAAATCCCTAGTTTATTTTGCTTTTTATGATTTCTCTCGCTGGCTTTTTCTTGTGATTTTGATTAAATTCAATTGAAATTTGTGATCATCAAGGCAGACCAAGCCAGTCGTTGTTGCTATACATATATATATATTTATATATATATGAATTTATATGTATATTACACACTAAATCTCACAGCACAATTTGGTTGAGTTTGGTTTTCCAAGACTTCAAAATACTTGATCTTTGTTATTTTCAATTAGCTTTTCCGTTTTCCTCTCACACTTTTCAAGGTTTCCACTTTTGCTCCACTTTTGGGATTTTCCTTTCAATTTTTTATTCCAGAAATTCACTGCGTGTTTTCACCACTTTCATAGATATTTTTTTCTGCTTTCGGGTTTGCCGCTTGAACTTTTCCAGTCGCCGTTCGCTTTGTGACTGAGCTGCAGGAAAATGAAAATCTCTTATCAACCTCTTAGTTATATCTCCAGATCCCAGATCTCTGAGCACACTGCGATGATCATCATTATGATGATGCTGATTCTAACTTAAATTGGTCCGCTTCGCAGTGTGTGCTGGTGATAATGATGGTGATGGTGATGGTGACAGATCTTGAGCTCTGCTTGTTGGTGTTTTGTTGATGCGACAAGATCGCCGAAAGATAATGTCTCCCGTAATGTATTTTCTTGAATGGAGATAAAAAGCTAAAGAGACCTGAGCGACGGCTGACGTGCGACAATGTCGCGATCTCCGCCAGAGTGACTGGCAGTATCTATCTGGAATCTAGCGAAAAGATCACTTGGTAGGCCAAGGTTCACCTCCCAGAGGGGTTGGGGTCTTCAGATACACATACACCCCCTGAGATAGAAAAACACTGGGGATTAAAGGCGATTCAGATACAGAAAGAGCGGCGCAAGACACAGTGAAAAATAACAATTCTATTTTTCGCTGATAAGTGATGAAATGAAATGAGAAATTCTTCAAGGTAGATGGATACTTTTGAACACCAGTTTTTTCTTACTTTATCACACAATTGAAAATCAGCCGTATTCAAAGGCGGTGAAAAAATCTTCCCTGCACTTGAAAATTCCACCAAGAACAGTCTTGGGGCTCTTAAACGGATTCGAACAGGAAAATTGTGTGAAAACCACAAAAGTCTTATGCATTTCCTCAGAGAAGCTTTCTATAAAAATGTCTAACGTTGCGAATCGAAGCAAAGACCGAACTTAACTGTCCAGAATTGAACATATACATTTTTGATAAGACCTCGACATGGATACAAAAAATACATTAAAACAAATTAGCTGATAGGGAAATTACATGGGCAAATCGATTGATTGATTGGGATGAAAGCATGTGTTATAGGGCGATAATTAAGCAGATATGTGTGGCCTGACAACCACAAATTTTCTTCGCGTGTTTTTGGCGAATATTTACGTCCCACTGACCCGGCCTAACCTGCTTATAAAAAAGGTATAAACCTTTATGTGTGGAGCTTAACTGATTAGCGGCGCTTCCTGAAGGGAGTTCATAACTTTGTTTTGTTAGTTGTCAGATAAGATAATACGATTCCATCTCTCGTGTGTCATGTGAGTGCAAAGTAAAATATTTAAACTGTCTCGGCACTGAGTAGAAAACTACAAATGTATCTAGTTTGGGGAAAGGAAAGTGTTGTGCCGATCAGTAGATGTTGTTCATAGGTCAAAGTAGTGTCCTTCTTCCACTTAATTATCTCTTTTAATCTATTTAGTTCAGCGTCCAAGAGAAGATGTCAAAGACAGAGCGATTATCAGATACTTTGAGATGGATGTGGCTGGATATCAAAGGCAAACACAAACATGTTGTAAAACAAAATACGTAAGCAAAGTTATGCCAGACTCGTTTTTTGTTTATCAGCAGATAAATCGGGGAGCAGCGCAATCAGAAGCTGAAACAAAAGCCTAAAAAGTGAAGAAAAAGTGCAGTAGATCTGCGACCATATCGGTTGTATACGCTAAAAATTAATTAGAATAAATTAAACGTTGTTCAGACATGTCTTCATTAGAGGCTATAAGTTAAAAACTGTATTTTTATATTCAAGTATTGAACGATAACTCGTGGTTTATTCATTATATTTGTATTATACTTCTTTGTTGAAGATAACAAACAAATCTACACCATTTACTTTTCAGCACATTTACCAAATATTTAACTACAAAAATGCGCCAACCTTTTCTCACAACATGTTAAAGAAATCAAAGTAATTGAACAAGCTAACAATACAGATTTTAAATATCGCTGAGTAAAGTTTCCTCTTAAGTTTTGATGAACTGACTCTTTTGCGTACTTCAACAAAATTCGAATTTCTCAAATGTTCAATGCATTAATTAGCTGTTCATAAAGACAATATTTCTTAATACAATGTTATGTACAATACAAATCAAACTAATCCACAAGACTTTTAAGACATGCCACTTCGAAATCTGATGCTTGAAAGAAAAGTTATAGAATTAACACTGTAGATTTTTGGTCACTTTTCAAGGATTCTATTTTTCGGAAATTGATTAAGGTGATATATCGTAAAAATAACAATTCAAAATTTAAATGCAGAATTTTAGAGGCCTTAACTACAAGACTTTAAAGGTATAGCACTTTGAAATCGAAGGCCAGGAAGAAAAGTTATGGATTTAGAACTGCAGCTATTTGGTCACATTTCTGCAAAGACGATTATTTGGGAAATTAAGAAAGGTGCAACATCATAAAAATTGCAAAAAATCGACCCGAAATTACAATAAATCTCGACTTATTGTGGGTAAATTTAATTAGATGTTAATGCATTTGCCAAATTTCCCGCCAAAGGACCAATTTCTGATTCTCATACATAATTGCGTTTTCAAAATTATACCTTAAGTGCAAACTTTGTTTAACTGCCATAAATCATATTTTAAATATGATAACACAAAAATATTATTCTTAGGAAAAAAAAAGCTTTGAGTTAATAATAATATAAAAAAAAGATTTTTGGTTTGTTTTAGCTTATAATAAAACATTAAGAAACAGGTATCGAAAAACAAATCAAGCAATTAAAAATATTAATCTTCTAAAATTAAAAAAAATTTATAAATAAATAAAATAAACTAAAAATATTAAAATATTTTAATTTATTTTTAAAGTAGGTTTTTGTTTTTGTAAAAACATAGACAATAATTATTTTTTGATATTGTGCAAATAAAAAATTGAGCAGCGGAGCATTTCGGTGGAACTTTTAAGTTTGCGCAGCAATGGCAACGCCGACCCCTTTGTCTCTCTTTCTCTTCCGATAGCTGAAAGTACGAGAATCAAGTAATTTTTAGGACTATCTCAATTATTAAGGATTTACCTGTCCACTAGCATGCTAAGTGTGCTGCGCCTTGGAATGAGCATAAAAAAAACGAAAACACCATAACAGCGATTGATAAAGATGGCAACCAAATATAGCGGTTCATAAAAATAGCTTTGACTAATAAAATTAAAAATTGCAGAAAAGATATAAGCGCCGCCCATCAAAACAGAGATTCGCACAAACTGTAGATAACTATAATTCAAATACGGAATAAGTATTACGCTTGGTTATTATTTTACAAAGTAAAATATCTTACGTCTGACTGTCGATATTAAGGCAGGTCACCGTCGTCTCCTCCTGTACTTTAAACCGGTTTATTTCCCTTTTTACTTTGATAATGTAATAAGCCGTTAGGACAAACATTATAATATTGAAGCAACATGTGAAATGTGTAGGCAACAATGCTATGAAAAGTGTCGTTTCTGTGAAAAGAAATAATAGGTGTTTAGATACAGTGTAACCTTTTCAAATATAGTCGATCGTTCCAAAGCTCGAACGTCCGTTACTAAAATATTACATACCGATTGGAATGAGCTTTTCGAGACTAGACTTTACAATGTTTTGTCAGTTTTTCATGACTTTTCGTGATGACGGATTTTAACTTAGAATTATTTAGAACGAATAGTAATGAAAAACTGACAAAACATTGCATTCTTCAATATATCAAGCTATGAAAGCTTTATATAATCACCATAACTGATGTGTAAATAGTACCGCATTATATATAAGGCTGAGTAACAAATAACAAATGTGACCCAGACAAAGATGCTGTAGATCCGAAACTGATTAGGATCATCATTGCAACTTAGTGACGTTAGCAATTTCCACAGATGATAGCTGATGACAGAAAGCCAGAGATAGTAAGCTATTAGGAAGTCAATGAAAATAAGATCTGAAAACGATCAATGCAAATTAAAATACAATCTCAGAAAAAGTTTAAAAAGTCTCTGCAACCAACAACAAACCTAATATAGGAGGCATGACGATAAATTCAACCATATCAAAAGCAATCCTACTCAGAGTATGGATGAGCAGACAGCAAAGGTTGCTGACAATGCACTTTCCGAGCACATTTCGAAGTTTTTCCACGTAAAGATACACTGCAATTGTTAGGACAACGAAAATCAAGGATATCCAATCGGCTAAAAATAATAAAAAAGGAGAAGGAAAGGTAACAGGATATGTTGTATAGCGAGATACGATTTCTTTGACCGCCTGCTTTCATCCAGTTGTAAACTTGGGTTGGACGATTCACACAAGCTTTGAAACCCGAAGAAAACTGATTTATTGAATATAAACTTTACCGATTACAACGCAATTAAACATTGTGTAAAATCTACAACTTTCTATACAAAGTGCCAATTTCGACTGAACCTCGATTGCAGATTGCTTAGTTTTTATATCAACAGCTGAAAAACTGAGCCGATTCTCAAACTGCCAAAGATTTTTATCTCGATCATTTACTTCGTAGTTGAGTTATACAGTGCCGAAATAAGAAATCATTTGGAAACATGTAAACACTGAGCGTCGGCACTTCTTATATATTAAACTCGGAGAGTTCCCCACTGAAGTCGACAAATTCCCCTGGCACAAATTATACTCAAGAAAGAACTTTATTGGTACAGGAAAACTAGCGGGTATAAAGGGAATTCAAATTTGTGTTCTGCTCTTCGTTCGAACTTCATTCTACTCTCTGGAAAGTTGCAGGACTATGTCACATAGCTTCCATCCAAAAATAAACAGAAAAATAACAGGAAAATCGACAGGAATTCGTTATTTTTTTATATGCGCACTCATATATGTTTTTAACGAATTTCGAAAATCAATTTTAGATTTAATAAAATTAAGAAACTATATCAATTACAATGTTGCATTTACTCGGATGTGCTGTTTAACAATGCAAGAGGAACAGATTTTGATGTTCCCTTGTTTTCAACAGATCAATGTTAAAAATTACTCAGACAGCCGAAAAACGTCAGGAAAAAATAATTTGTTGTCTTTTGGTTTTTATTTAGAATAATTGGATGAGAATTTTGTGACATTTATATATTATTGTATTGTTATTATTTTATTTATTTTATCAAACAAAAAACCCTTGTTAATAATTAATAATATACAAAATTTCTGATATCAAATCTTATGACAAAAAACAATTATGATAAATAAGCATTCGTATAAAAAAAAATACTTTTAATATTTATATTTGTCCCTAATAATTTGGGCATTCTTAACAAACATTTTGGGCGACCAATTCCCCTTGCACCCATTCCAATTGAGAACGATTTTATCGAATTTTTCACGATATGTTGGTCCAAGGGAATTAAATTGTTATTTCGTTAACTCCTTGTGCGCCCATTTGTACTCTGAGCACCTAATCTCTGAGATCAGACATCTAACTGGCTAATTAAGTTGCGTGGTGCAGTGCATTCCAAATCATCCATAAGGCTTCCATCCAAGTCCACGCAATGCTGTATAGAATGCAATTTGTCGGGCTGTTTTGGATGCCACTTCAAAAATGGTGCTTGTTGGCCGGAGGCAGTTAAAAACTGGCCGATAATTATATCCACTCCTGGCTTGCTCTAGAACGGCATTATATTCAGCTCCGTCTTGGAAGGTCGCTAGATGACCTCCCCTATTATCACAGTCCATTTCAGCATCATCCCAGTTTTTCTTGACATTAGTCTTTCCACGTTTATAGATAACTTTTGTAAGTCCAGTATTTCATTTTCAATTTTGTTCTTGAGTTTGAGTTCTTTCCATATTTGCCTTAGATTCTTTTTGCAACAGATTCCTTTCTCAATACTCCTTTTCTTTAAATCTTTTTTTAATGTTTAAAAATTAAATTTTAATTACATAAAAGTCAAACAAATATTCGTAAAAAGATATAAAAAATATCGCCAAATTGGAGGAGATACCTTTTTATTCACTCTGCAGTTAAAGGGTAATTAAAAACGAAAAATATATTAATTATGTGTTAGTCCCAACAATTATACAATTATTTTTTTTATGACAACCATGTAAATCAAAAAATCAAAACAGAAACGGTTGTTTCCGCTTAGCAACGTTCACAACCAACCAGAGCTGCCAGATGTCTTTATTGCTTAGGCGTGGTTGAGTCTTTGCTAACTGCTATCGGAGTTCTAAGCCCTACCGCAGAAAATGGGTGACCATCTTTCAAAACATTCCAAAAGTTAACAGAGGATGGAAATTTTTTATTTTAATGAAAATAATTTAAAAAAAGAAAAACCAATAATTATGTTAAATTAAAAATCTCAAATATTGTGAGATACAATTTTCAAAAATATATATATATATATATATCATTGAACTCTCTCGATCCAGCATGTAACATTACTGTTTTAGCGTCTGCACACAGTCGCTTGTAGCGAAAAACTTGAAGCGACCACACAGCGTTTTCATTTAGCGTTTGCGAGCGCCTTTCGATGCCCGGAAAGTTCGGAATTCAAAATCGTCGACTTTGTAACCGCAATGTTGAATCGTCGTTTTCCTAACATTTTTGCGTTAAATTATCGTTTTCCTTACATTTTTAAATGTAAAATGTTAGCCAAACGTCAAACTAACAGAAGAATAGAACGAGAAAGAAAATAAAAAATCCACCTCATTGTTTGGGATGGATAAACATCGATAATCCCCGCCAAACATCGATGGGACCAATATTTTGAACAATCGATGTTGGCATCGAAGTTTCCCCACCGCTAGGTTCTTGTTTTTGTTTTTGTTTTTTTTCGTTTTCATTTTTCTCGCAGTTCGGACGTGTTTTCGCTGCGGCTCGCTAAAACTACAAAAGGCTGAACTCGAACTTAAGCTAAAGTTGATATATTAAAGTGATTGACTTAAGAGGTCTTGCAATTACACGTGGACTCGGCGGTAATAAATGAATTAAGATTGCTGCTAAATTGTCGCTCCTGTATGTGTGCACGTGTGTGTGCGTGTGTATGTTTAGTGTTTGCGGCGTTTGTCGAGAAGAGGAAGAGAAATAGCAGAGAAATACAAAGAGTATTCAATTAAATTCAAGTGTCGCGGCTATTTAGGCATTATCTAAAAGCTGAAACCGAGATTAGATAAAATACACGGCGAATATATAAAGTGGAAAAGGCAGAAAAAGCTGAAAAAGCAGAAAAAGGCACAAAAGCAAAAAGGAAAGAAAGAGGAAAAGAAGAAGTTCAAAGCCAAAGTCTATGTGTGTGTGCGTTTGTTTGCGACGCTTGCAAAAATTGTCTGTTTGTGCGTGTGTGTTGTTTTTGTTAGTGGCACCTGTCTGCAAAATAAGAAGGAGACAGCAACAAAAACCATAACAACAAATAAAAAAAAAAACAAACAGTAAGAAAATAATATGAAAAAATACAACAACAAATTAAGAAACTTAACAAAGTAAAAGAAGGTGAAAGAAGATTTAATTGCTCCCCAAAAACCGGGGAAAGGAAGAGAAAAGAAGATTATCCTGTTTTTTTAAGGAATATCTCTATAAAAGGTAAGTTTCGAATCGCATGACACACTTTTCTTCAATGAATTTTCACATTTTGGGGGTTGACGAAATTCCTCTAGATGCTGCGTATGTGTCGAAATTTCAGTGATTTAACCTAGACCAGAAAAACACTTTTTGAAGGTGGATGAGGCTGTTCACAGCCACCCCCTTTTGGGGGTGGTTTTTCTGCTCTCAACTGAGCATCCTCGCTTTTCCCGATGTGTACATATTTTGAAGGCCATCCCGCAGATAGATCCCAATAAAGGCAACACATTTTGAGAGTTTGAAAGCATTTTTATGTTAGCTGCTACCTAAAACTGGGAAAAATCCATTAAGAGTAGTTTTAAAAAGATTTCTTTTTGGCTTAAGGTCATAAAGTTTAGAAGATACAACTTTTTCTAAACTAAACTTACCAAAGTTTGGCTTACAAAAACTTAAAATAAAACTAAATTTCAACAATTCATAATATAATTAATAGAATTGTATTATTCTTCATAAATTTGTTTAGCCGACTATTAGTAAACTTAATGAACTACAACATTGTTTAAAACTAAACTGAAAGTTAAATCAAAGAATTAGTTTAAAAAAGTCTCAAACTATATTCTAAAGAATGAAAAAAATAATGGTAAATTGCCTTCCAAATTTTTGAAATATCTCAGAAAACCAATAAAATCATATGGCTGAAGAAACAGCTTCCTAAACCCACGAATTGTTAGACTGAATAAGCCCATAAATGCGCAGAGGCAGCCACAAAACAGCTGAACTTGACCCAAACACATGCATTCAACATAAGATCCAGCCCCCTTAACGCTCTGATGATCTAGATAAATGCAGATGGGCCATCCAAGAGTTGCACAAGGCATCCCCCTTAACCTCCATCCCCGTAATTTAGACACCTATAATCTTTTTCGAAAAGCTCACACGAAATAAATCAGCGCAACTTGGACACGTTTTGGTCTAGAAGCGATAGAGATGGCTAGATAGAGTGTGAAAAAGATGGCAACGTCGGCTTCTCCTTTGCTCATTAATCACAATGACTAATTTGTGAAGTTTTTTCATACGTTACGTATCGTTTTTTTTCCGAATTTTTGTGGTGTTTTCATTTCAAGCCGACGACGGCGGTCAGTTTAAGCTCATTAAAGTTACCCAAGGGTTTAAAATAAATTGCGACGGGAACAGCATATGTGGAGAAAAAGAGATGGACAGCAGGGAGCTGTGAAATAAAAACAAAAATACCCCAAGCCCATGAAAGATTTAAAATGAACTTCAAGTTACACGAGCTCAATGCCCTTCTTGGGTCAAAGCTGATAGCACAAACGCTTTAAAAATTCGAAAATAGTGTGGAAATTTTATGATAAGAATGCTGTAAAACTCTGTAAATATTTGGAGGCATTCTATGAAAATATTTGTGCTTCATTTAATTACTAAAAATATGTCTGTTTGTAAAAGAATGATGATTAAAAATTTAAAAAGAAAGAAAATTGTCTCCAAAATTCTATAAACCAACTAACAACATTTTTTACTATTATTCGGTTTGTAATTTTTCAGATTTATCAATGTCTAGACTTTTACAAAAAGTCACATTCAAGCTTCATGAAATTCATCATTTGTATTGATAGAAAAGCTTGGGAGGTCTAAAAAAACCCCTATTTTGATAGCTAATCAGATTATTCACCAAAACGCATGTGCTCCATATAGTGTAGCGCATCAAGAAACCCAAAACTCACGATCAAATGTCAAAGCCGCTTAAAAAGAGAAAGAAATAAGAATGGTGAGACCGGTGACAGGTGGATTTTGCTTCTATATGCCGGATTGCCTGATCTTACTCTGTCTTATTTACAATTTTTCTTCACTGCGT